GGTTGGTTTTGTTCCTCAGCAGTTATGTCCAGTGCTGCCAGAGGTGTGGAGTGGCATATGCCTGCTAATGTCATTTAAGTGGAGGATTTTGTAGTCTAATCACGTTATACAATTCAGGTAGTTTTCTGGACCTTTATTGTTCAGAGGAGTTTATCATAATTTTTCTAAACCTCAAATTTCTTTGCTGTCTTTGTCATTTATTCCTCCCTGTGACCTGGCCAGCTCTTTTTTTTTTTTTCTTGTCTTTTTCTTTTTGTATCAAGTACCCTTAGTATTATTTGTCCCTTCACTTTCCCTTATATATATTTTAATTTAATTTAATTTTGTTTTACTTATTCACTTTACATCACACTCACTGACCCCTCCCAGTCACCCCTTCCTACAATCCTTCCCCTATCCCACCTCCCCTTCACCTCTAGGGAGTGAGGCCTCCTGGGTATCCCCTAACCCTGACACTTCAAGTCTCTTGGGGACTAGACGCTTCCTCTCCCACTGAGGCCAGATAGGGAAGCCCAGTTAGTAGAACATATCTCGCGTATAGGCAACAGCTTTTGGGATAGCCCCCTCTCCAGTTGTACAGGACACACATGAAGGTCACGTTACATGTCTGCTACACATGAGTGGGAAGGCCTAGGTCCAGCACATGTATGTTCTTAGGTTGGTTGTTCACACTCTGAAAGCCCCTAGGGTCCAGGTTAGTTGACTCTATTTGTCTTCCTGTGGAGTTCCTACCCCCTCATGGGCCAAAATCCTTCCTCCTATTCTTCCATAAGAGTCCCCAAGCTCCATCCACTGTGTGGCTGTGGGTGTCTGCATCTGTCTGAGTCAGCTGCTGGGTTGAGCCTCTCAGAGGACAACATACTCCTGTATGCAAGCATAACACAGTATCATTAATAGTTGGGCCAGTTATTGGTTGGCCATTCTCTCAGTCTCTGCTCCCTCCCCATGCCTGCATTTCTTGTAGACAGGATAAATTTGGGGTTGAAAGTTTTGTGGGTGGGTTAGTGTCGCTGTTGCTCCACTGGGGTTACACAGGAAGTGGCCTCTTCAGGTTCCATATCCCCAAAATAGTGAGTCACAGCTAAGGTCACGACCATTGATTCTTGGGCACCTTCATTATCCCAGGATGCTGTCTCATCCTGGAGATGCCTCCACCTCCTTGCCCCTGTCAGTTGCAGGTTTTCATTCATTTTCATGGCCATCTAGCCTTCTTTCCTGTCCTTTTTCACCCCTGATCCTGAGCCCCCTCCAACCCTTCATGCTCCTTCCCTCCCAATCCCCTCCCTCCATCTGCCTCTTATTTTATTCCCCCGCTAAGTGAGAGTCAAGCTTCCTTGCTTGGACCTTCCTTCTTGGTTAGCTTCTTAACCTTCCTTTCTTATGATAAGTGAGGGTAGCATCCCTAAGGATGGCCAGTGTATAGGAGGTGTTAGGAGGAGCCAGTGTTACACAGAAGTACTAAGACTGAATTTCAAGCTCTTATGATCTACCAGTTTGGCACATAAATTGTAAAAGGTGGACCATCCAGTTGTTGTCTCTTCCAAGTTTTAAAGGGGGCTGAGATTTTGGTTAAAGTGACTTGTCTGTCTTTGTTCTATTCAGAGAGTGGCTTTTTGGGCCATTTGCTACAACTGAAATTTTTTCAAACACTTGCAGCCTCAGGGAATGAAGTAATTGCTAGAGATACCTGGAAATAGAATGGAAATGAACAAATGTAGCACAGATTGGCTGATGTCACAGGACTGTGACTTCTGAGAGGCAGGTAGGTATCCCACTCTAAAAATGGTCATCAAGTACGGAGCTCCCATTCATAGATGAAAGTGTCACACTTCTGCTATTAGTCAATGTGGCACATTTTTGAGGATTAATTAGCTTTAAGCTGATATCTAAATTAAGCCACAGTCTGCTGGGGGCCAGCTCCAACAGGTCTTGGTTCTTCTTGAGGCAGTGGAGGGGGAAGAGTGTTGGTGGAGATAATATTTGGTCTTATCAGAAATTTAGGGTTAATATATAATAATAAAACGTTTACCTGCCTTAAGTGCAGTAAGTCACTTTGCTGCAGTAGCTGACCTGCCTGTCGTCTGAGTTCCTCTGAGGCCAGAAACTGTTTAGCAGAGGATAAGTGAAAAGATTTATTGTTGGTGCTCCTTTCTCTGGTGAATCAGCCAGAAATCCCTCTGGCGAAGCTGGTTGACTCTTTGTGGACCAGAGGAAGGAAGGGAAAAGAATTAAGATGCTGTGTACAGGCAAATATGCACAGACACATACTTTCAATCCTTCATACACTCATACACTGGCTGGGCCCAACCATCTGTCACAATCAACTCCATAAGTATTTATGCATGCTTCCACATATACACAAATACCCTATACACAAACATGTAGACAAACAGACGTACACATTTGGATGGATGGGTGGATGGATGGATGGATGGATGGATGGATGGATGGATGGGGCAAAGTTCCCGAAGTCAAACCATTCAACCAACAACTTTATTTCTTTTCCCTGGTCTTTTTATACACACTTAGAAAAAAGTTCTTTAGAAAATTACCTCAGAGATATAAAATGTTTCATAAAATATGAGTTAGGGAAGGGTTCAAAGCAGTGTTTCATTACAATATGCTAATTAATAATAATTCAATAATTAATTAATAATTCAAAGAAGCAGGTTTTACATGGCCTTACCTTATCATAGTGTACGCCTGGGACTTTATCATTAGACCTAAATATGTTTCCTTGAGCTCAATTGTCTCAAATCTGTTTCTCTTTTTACTGTGATTATGAAAGCTCATTGTCGCCTGGCGGTGGTGGCGCACGCCTTTAATCCCAGCACTTGGGAGGCAGAGGCAGGTGGCTTTCTCAGTTCCAGGCCAGCCTGGTCTACAGAGTGAGTTCCAGGACAGCCAGGGCTACACAGAGAAACCCTGTCTCGAAAAACAAAACAAAACAAAAAACAAAAAAAACCACCCAAAAAAAGAAAGCTCATTGTATTTTTTATTATGCTGCCTTTACTTACTATTCTGAGGAATGGGTACATTCTATTCTTGATTATAACTTTATTACATTTTTCTGGCAACTAAGACCATCTCTAAAAACCTTCTTCCTAAAGTTATTTGAAGCAAATCAAGAATTCTATAGAATTATTATCTATTTGTCTATATAGCATCACTGTAAGATAATATATCTTCATCGTTCTGCAGAGATCGTCTTAAAGGGTGAGCCAATACCTAGTGATAGTTATGTATTTAACAATAACAGGAAAAGCATATTAATAGCAGGAATCTTTCCTAAAATGAATTTCTTCTAGGCCTTGCCTATTGGAGAAAATCAGAAGTGGCTTTTACTAGGAGGCAGACTCATCTCAGGATGATCACTTGTTAGGTTCTCCTATGATGGCTCCTGACGACAATCTATTCCTGTGCCTCCACTGCCTTGCTTATGACTTTGTGTCCCTTTTACCAGACATAATATTCATTATGCTAGCATCCCACCCTTCTCTGAGTGTTCCTTTCTGTTCAGTCTCTCTTCCAAGTCCTTCATAATTACTCCTCAGAGCTCCATGTTAAAGTGATCCAGACTTCTTCTTGAGTTCATTTTCCTTCTCCATTCTTTTCCTTCATATATAGAATAATCAAAACAAAGCCAGGTAAGGTGGTTCGTGTCTCTAGTCCTAGCACATTAGAAAATCTAAAGCCGGAAGATCCTGAGTATGAGTTTAAAGCTCACATGGGTTACATACTAAAGGTCAAGATGGTGCTGTACCAGGGGTGGGGTTGGATGGGTTGGGGGATATTCTTGGTGTCAACTTCACTAGATCTAGAACCTAAGTGTCTGGGTACACCTGTGAGAGTATTTTTAATTAAATCATTTTTGAAGGAGGAGATCCACCTTTATTCTAGCCCACAGCTTCTGGTGGCAGCCTATATTAAAGACAGAGACAAAGGAAGTTCATTGCTCTTTGCCTGCTTGTTCTCACTCTGGTTGGCAAGTCTATTTCTTCACTGACATTAGAGCCTACTTATTTGGTATTCTGGTGTATACTAAAGAGCAGTTGAGACGTCCAGCCGTGTAGACTGAATAACTACTGGGCTCTTGAAGTTTCCTTTGGTAGACGGCCATTGTTGGACTAAAAAGACCAAAGCCTGTAAGCCACACTAGTAAACTGCATATTATTCTTATTCTCTCTCTCTCTCTCTCTCTCTCTCTCTCTCTCTCTCTCTCTCTCTCTACACACACACACACACACACACACACACACACACACACACACACACACATATATATATTCCTTTAGAGAACCCTGGCTAATACAGATTTATAGGTAGATGGAGGAATGACAGATGATAGATAGATAGATAGATAGATAGATAGATAGATAGATAGATAGATAGATAGATAGAGTAGACAGACAGACAGAGACAGACAGATGAAAAAGGAAAACAGAATAGCCAAATGCCTAGGAAGTTTCTGGTTCAACCATTTCCCAGCATCATCCTCTCCCGTCCTCCATGATACATATACCTTTCCAGTTAATATCCAGATGAATTGAGGGGTCTAGTTCAAAAGCTGCTTCATCTCATTTCTCAATTATCTTCTTCATCTAGGTAAGTAAATACATGCTGCCTTATGTCCACTGTAGCTTTAATCATAGAGAATCTCCTGTATGCTGCCTTGCATTAGATTCTAGCCTGTCAAGTGCAAACTCCTTAGGTATGGTATCCACATTTGCTGTGATGTGTGTGCCTCTTATAACATAGAGGGTCCTGTCCACTGCAGCTGCGGCGGCATAGAGGTGTTTATGGAACAATTCTCTCCAAGACACTCGTTCCAGTTCATTTTGTTTGAACCTGGTGTTTGTGGTAACCTCTTCTATCGCTCCATATTCTTTCACAGAAGTTCCTCTAGGTTTTCAAGGGACAATTACAGTTTCACTGTATTAACAAGTGTTATCCTGCTTGTTTGAATCACAGTCAATGAATTTTTCCCTTTATCTTGGTAGCCTTGTTTGTAAGCTGAACACAAGGACCACCATCCTAGCAGCAACTAACCCCAAAGGCCAATACGACCCCCAGGAGTCTGTGTCTGTGAACATTGCCCTTGGCAGCCCACTCTTAAGTCGATTTGACCTCATCTTGGTTTTGCTCGACACTAGGAATGAAGACTGGGATCGTATCATTTCTTCCTTTATCTTAGAAAATAAAGGTAGGTGAAGACAAATGAGTGACTCACTGTGACACGGAAAGATTAGACCTAAGCTAAGGACGTGTCCCTTGAGTTAAATACTCAAGATGTCTGTGTTGACAGGTAGTAGATGCTTAGACAGAGGCAGCTGAGAAGCCAGAGAGTGGCCTACAGAGTCATAGCATAAGGGAAAGTGCCTTTCTCCACCTCCACTGTGAGGGTATAGTTGACATATGTGTGTGTATGTGTATATATGTGTATACATGTGTATACATGTACATGTATGTATACATATCATATACATACATATCCTTTTTGATAGGAGACATCCTTGTGATATTACTATTTTTGCACAGAGAAAACTGGAGTGAATGAAGTAGAAATCCATAAATGTTATTTTTTTCAAGTTAGACCCATTCAAGTCCTTTCTACTATAATTATTTGGAATTATTGTGAATAATTTTTACTCTGGGTATGGGGAGCTTCTTTTTATTGTTTTACATCATAAAACAGCTTATTCTGGAATTTCATGCTACAAGGAGAATAGGTTCAGTGGAAAAACCTAAAGCTTATCTTTTAAAACTGTGTGTAGGAGCTGGTGTGGTGGTGTAGACATTTGCATAGTGAGTTTCAGGACATCTAAGAATATTTATGTGGAGAGACTCTGTCTCAAAAAAACCACAGATAGATACATATGTACATAAGTAGATACATAGATAAATAGATATTAAATCTTGTATAGGAATGTTGGGAATCTAAAATTCCCAAATTATGATGTTTTCTAATTCCTTTTAGTTTACTGATCTCATGTCTGCTGTACACAGGTTATCCAAGCAAATCAGAGAATCTGTGGAGCATGGAGAAGATGAAAACCTACTTCTGCCTCATTCGGAATCTCCACCCCACACTGTCTGATGTGAGCAATCAAGTACTCCTCCGATACTACCAAATGCAAAGGCAGAGTGATTCCCGGAATGCAGCCCGGACAACCATCCGCCTGCTGGAAAGCTTGATCCGATTAGCAGAAGGTCCATTTCATTTTACAAATGATGTTTTTATTGAGCGCCTTGTTTAAACAAGGCACGCACCACTCATTGAGAGACGATAAGAGTAATCCGCACTCTGAGATAATCATGATCACTTAAGAAGTAAAGGCTTGAGGAGTCAGGAGATGGGCTAGCCAGCTTAGCTGATAAGAGAGCTTGGCCCCAGCCTAGTGACCTGAGCTTGATCCCTTGTCTTACACTTGTCAAGTAACCTAGTTTCTGGAGATCCGATGCCCTCCTGGCCTTTGTGGGCACCTGCATACTTGCAGTGTACACATACATGAGAGCACACATGCACATTTTAAAATAATAAACATATTTTAAACTTTATAAATTAAAAGTAAGGCTCCTTAGCCCTCAGACCAGCATGCTTCTGAGGATAAAGAACGATTATGGTGTAAGTCTTTGTGCCATTTCTGGACCTCCCACAATGTAAGCGATTATTCATTTAGAAAGCCTTCTTTGTGGTGCTGGTTCTCAGGAACAGCAGGTACTTACTGCTGGGCATGAGGTCAGCCTTAACCGTGGTTTATACCCAATAAGACTTCTTGGAGAAAAGCTGATTTCTTTTCGGTTTTAGTGGTTATCCATTGAAGACAGCTTCTGTGTTAGGGATGGGAGCTCGTGTCCACACCATCTCTCATAGATGAGACGCCATCTGGCTTGTACCTGTATTGGCCCTGTACATGCTATCACAGCCTCTATGAGGTTATACTTGTGTCAGTCCTGTTGTGTGGAGGAAATGCCATTTCCTTGGTGCCTTCTGTCTGTCCCCACCTGCTCTTTATAATCTTTATACCTCGTCTTCCCCATAGTTCCGTGAGCCCTGAAGGGAAGAGTTTGGTGAACACATCCCATTCAGGACTAGGTGTTCACAGGTCTCTCACCCTCTACATATGGTCTAGTTGTCATCTCTGGATCTGTTCCCATCTACTTTAATAGAAGCTTTTCTGACAATGGCTGAGCAAGTTGGTGATCTATGAGGCAGAATATCATTAGGAGTTCATATATGTTAAATATAAGTTCTTATATATTAAATCATCCTATATTTAATACAGAATAATAGCATTCCATTTTCCCCTAAGTCCATGGCCTACCTAGTCAACCAAGCAGTGTCAGGCATGAGTTATATCTTATGGAGTGGACCTTAAATCCAATCAGATACTTGTTGGTTGCTCTCACAACTTTTGTACCACTATTGCACCAGTATATTATGCAATCAGGTTACTATTCCTATTAGATTATTCAGTCTACCATTGTAGATTGAAGGATTTATAGATGTGTCTGTCTTTCTCCTCTGGGTAGTTGGCAGAGTACTTCCAGTACCATCAACACCAGTCAGTTGGGGTGAAGGCTCTAACTAGGCACAAATTGGACCTCTTCCTGTTCAATGAATATCTAGGTGTTGTCGTCAGCAATTAGAGCCTTACAATCAATTTGTGGAGAGTAACCAACAGCCTTGATGATAGCCTGAGTTGCTTGGGTGGTTCCATAGGGTGCCTTTGGCCAACAGCTCAATTAATTGGATGTAACCCATTTCTGGCACTGATTGTTCCACTTGATGGTGAGAAAAGTCTAATTGAGGCTTTGTCACCCTGTTTTTTTGGTGATTCCACTTAGATTTCTTTCATGTACATATATATTTAAGAAACTTCTATTGTAGTAAGTTTCCATATGACCACTCAAATGGTCCTTAGTTGTAGCTGTCCCTCCCTGCATTCCATATTCTCTCCTTATGCCCTCTTCTGTCCACTCCTTTGTTTAATCCTCCCAACCAATCCAATACCCTGACTATCCATATTCTATTTCCTATTCCTTGGGAGATCCTTCCCTTACTCTATAGCTAAACTCTGTGGTTATACCAAGTATAGTGTGCATATTGAAGGCTTAAAGGCTGACATCTATGTATAAGAGAATATACCATATTTGTCTTTATGGATCTTAGTTTGCTCACTCAGGATGATTGGGGTTTTTTTTATTATTATTATTCACATTTACCTGTGAATTTCATGATTTCTTTTTTTTTTTTTTTTTTTTTTTTTTTTTTGGTTTTTCAAGACAGGGTTTCTCTGTGTAGTTCTGGCTGTCCTGGAACTCACTTGGTAGACCAGGCTGGCCTCGAACTCAGAAATCCGCCTGCCTCTGCCTCCCAAGTGCTGGGATTAAAGGCGTGCGCCACCACCGCCCGGCATGATTTCTTTTTTTAATAGAGGAGTAATATTACATTGTATAAATATACCACATTTTCATTATCTGTTCGTCTGTTGACAGGCATCTAGGCTGCTCCCAGTTTCTGGGTATCATGAATAGCCAGCAATGAAGAGCTTGCAATCCGAGCTATGAGCACGGATGAGCAAGTGTCCAAGTGTTCCTCAGCCTCAGTGTTTCATCTTTTGACTACTCTCTGTTTAGCTCTGTACCCATTTATTTTATAACTTACTTAATTTTATGCCCATTGGTGTGAGGGTGTCAGATCCCCTGGAAATGGAGTTACAGACAGTTGTAACTGCCAAGTGGGTGCTGGGAATTGAACCTGGGTTCTCTGGAAGAGCAGCCAGCACTCTTAACCACTGAGAAATCTCTCTCCAGCCCCTCCTCTCTTTTTCTAATGATTTTTTTTTTTTGTATTTTATTTGTTGGTTGGTTGGTTGGTTGGTTGGTTGGTTGGTTGGTTGGTTGGTTTTTCAAGACAGGTTTCTATGTGTAGCCTTGGCTGTCTGTCCTAGAACTTAAGTGTTGACCAGGCTGGCCTCAAACTCAGAGATCCACCTGCCTTCCTCCTGAGTGCTGAGATTAAAGACATTAGCCAGTGCACCTGATTTCTGTATCCCACTTTTTAGCTGGTTATTTTCTTCATGTCTAGCTTTTTTTATTTTTTTTTTATATTTTAGATAGTATCCCTCTAATGGATATGTAATTGGTAAAGATCATTTCCCTTTGTGTGGCCTGTCACTTTTTCCACATGCTAGTGTTCTTTGTCATGCAGAAGCTTTTTGGTTTCATGAGGTCCTAATTTATTGACTATTAGATCTTAGTGTCTGTGCTGTTGAATTACCCACTATCACTGTGCAAGGATCAATATGTCATTTTAGCTGTAGTAGTATTTCTTTTATAAACTTGGCTGCCCTTATCTTTGGTACATAAATATTTAGATTTCCAATATTCTCTTGGTGGATTTTTTTCCTTTGATGAGTATGTAGTGTCTTTTTCGCTCTATTTTGATTATTTTGGGTTTGAAGATTGTTTTGTCGGGTAATAAAATGGCTGTACCAGTTTGCTTCTTGGGTGTGTTTGCTTGGGATGTCTTTTTGCATCATTTTACCCTGAGGCGATATTTGTCCTTGATGGTAAGGTGTGTTTCTTGGATGTGACAGAAAGATAGATCCTGTTTTCTAATCCAATCTGTTAGCCTGTGTCTTTTTGTTGGGAAATTGAGACCATAAATATTAAGAGATATCAATGAGCAGCATTTATTGATTAGTTATTTTGTTGTGGTAATGTGAGTTTTTTCTCCTTTTTTGATTTGCTGGACTGCAGTTATTTAATCCTTGTGTTTTCTTGAGTATGATTAACCTCGTTAGAGTGAAATTTTCCTTCTAGCACCTTCTATTCTTATTGTTTGTAGATTTGGTCTTTTCATGGTGTTCCAGGTTTTGTACCTGGATTTCTTTATATTAGTATTTAACATTTTCTTTGACTGAGGTATCCATTCTTTCTACCTTGTCCTCAACACTGGAGATTTTTTTTCCATGTCTTGTACTCTGTTGATAAGGCTTTTTTTGTTTGACTTCCTAAATCTTTCATTTCCAGTTTTATCTCATTTTGAGATTTTGTTTTGTTTTCAGTGAGTCTATTTCTTTGTTAAATTATATGTCATGTCATGAATTTTTTTCATTATATCATTCCACTGTGTTTTCGCAGACTTCATTAAGGGAGTTGTTCATATCCTTTTTAGGGTCCTTGAACATATTCATAATAACTATTTTGAAGGCCTCATTCCTCATGACCTTCTGTCATAACTTTACTGGGTTCTGGTGGAGGCCTATTGTCTTGGATGTTATTAATTATGTTTTTGTGCTGTAATCTGGGCACCTGGGGTTGGGATGATTGTGACACTAGATGTTGATATCTGGTCTTACCTTTGTTGGCCTCTTTCTGGCCTTTTCTGTTGGCCTCTCTGCATCTTAGGAAAGTGTGTTGCTATGGGTTGACTGGTAGAGGGTCCTTATGCATATCACCGGGTGGCAGAGAGTAATAGGGGTGGGCTAGGAGAAAAGGTTAAGAGTGACTTCAGGAAAGACCTAAGGGAAACCTGTTAATACTTAGGATTGGGGGCCACTGGGAGTTGGAGATTTGGTAGAAAGAGGAGATCCCACAAGTATGTTGTAGTAAGGAGGTAAAGAATTATATGGGGAGAGAGGTGAAAAGTCTGTGAGAAGCGTAGGATCTAAATCTAGAGTCGGAGTCTTCAGTGAATGGAACTGGGGGAGCCCAGAGTCTGAACCTGGAGATGCAGTGTCCATGAAGGGAGTTGAGGTGGAAGGAGGTGCATCTGTAAGCAGGTTGTTACAAGCTGAGGATGGGAATGGAGAGATGGTAACGGAGGGCAGGAAGGACATTGTAATTCACCTACCTGAGTTCCCGCTGGTGTGGCCATTGGGCTCCAGGGTAAAAAGTATGTCTCGATATTGGGGGCTGACAGGAAAGAATAGGCTAAGAAGATGGGGTCTGGAGCAATATCCAGGGAGGAGGAAAGCTGGGCCCACTCCAAGGTTTGGTGGAATTCCCCAGGGTTGGAGATGGGGTGGAAAGACAGGCCTCCACAAGCAGTCTGCTACAGAGCTAGGGATGAGACTGCAGAGGCAGTAATGGAGGACCAGGAAAGAGGTGAATACTGCCTACCTGAATCCCAGCCAGGTGTGGCCGCTGGCTTCCCAGGTACAAAGTGTTGCTAGCTATAATAGGTGGCTGACACCAAGGGCTGGGGTGAGGGAGGAAAGCTGAGTCCACAGTGAGTGTCCTTGGAGTCCAGAGAAGGAACTACAGTGGGAGGGAGGTCAGGCTCTCCAAGCTGCTGCATGGCTGGGGATAAGACTAGAAAACTTGTAATGGGGACAGAAAGGAGAGTAAAACGCACCTACCCAATTCCCAGTGCCTCACGCCTGTTCTTATAACCAAATCAGCACCACGTACTCCATCCTCTCCCAAAGGCTTCAGGCCAACATACAGAGGCAGCTAATGTCCAGCTCTCTGTCTGTTGTTTTTTTTTTTGAGATTTATTTATTTTTATTTATTTGAATACACTGTCGCTGTCTTCAGACACACTAGAAGAGGCCATCACATCCCATTACAGGTGGTTGTGAGCCACCATATGGGTGCTGGAAATTGAATTCAGGACCTCTGGAAGAGTAACCAATGCTCTTAACCACTGAGCCACCTCTCCAGTCCTAATCTCTGTCTCTTACAGCATTTATAGTTTACCAATGTTCAAATTAACAACAGTCACATGAATTGAATGTAACAAATCATGAAATCATGAAAACTTAATAAAAATTCCACAAAACAAATGAACCTCATTTTATTCGAGAATTTATAGCTAATATTCTGGCAAGAAGTATCTAAAATTCTTGCTTGCTCGATTGGTGTTTTAAAAAGCTCATAAATCATAGATAAAAGAGGTGCCAGAGGTGAGAAATGAGTTTTAATTTTGTGTATTTATATGAGAGTAAAAAATGGAGAATCAAAGTTTCTGAATAGTAAATGGATGTTTTTACAGTGCCTTTCTTTGCTAGAGTCTAGAATGTTCTTGTATAAATACACAAATTGCCTGGACTGTGAAGACTTAGGCCCCTTATGGAGAAATTACTCTGAAGGTAGTTGCCTGTTCTAGTAAAATTAACTGACGATTAATTTAGTTCATCCATAAAATGCAAGTTTAGAGGGCAGAGAAATCAAAGATTACGTCTCTCATGCCGGGCAATCCTAACAGTGACTTGCTATCTTAGCTCATGCTCGCCTGATGTTCCGAAATACCGTGACTCTGGAAGATGCGATCACAGTGGTGTCCGTGATGGAATCCTCAATGCAGGTGAGGATACTGTGTTCACCCTAATTACAACATCTTTTTAAAATGGCACTTTATTAATGTACTAAGAGTTGTAAAAATGATCAAATTTGCTTCCTGGAAAGATTCAAAAGCAATTGTGTCAAAAAAGAAGAGCTGTTTCGGACAGAGATCTTCACTCTGCCACTGTCGTTGCCTGTAAATTGGGAAGAAGGGGGTCTCAATATTTTCCTTTCTCAGCAAGCTTAAGGGAATGCATGCTCTCAGTAGTGACAGGTGGCTTCCTGGCACAGTGGTCACCCACTGCCCTGTAGGAGAAGGGAGGGCTGTAGAAATTAGAAAGGGCTCTGTGATGGTGATGCCCAGGATGAGAGCAGAGCGAGCTGGAACCAGTGTGCTTCCCAGTGTGTTCGTTCTCTTGTGCAACTTAATCTGTGACTGTTCCTGGTGTTTTCTTGCCCCTCAGGGAGGTGCACTACTAGGAGGTGTGAATGCTCTTCACACCTCCTTCCCTGAAAGCCCACGGGCACAGTACCGGAAGCAGTGTGAACTCATTCTGGAAAAGCTGGAACTCCAGAGCCTCTTGCAGGAAGAACTTAGAAGACTTGAACGGTAAGGAGGGAAAGGAAGGCACATGGAGGAAGATGCTTCTCTGGCAGCTAGTGAGACAAAGCATACAGTTAGAAGGAAACTGCCAGGCATCCTGTCAGTTCCACTGACATCCACTGGGGTTGCTGACTGCATTAAGACAAGCCCTTGAGAATCCTTGTTTTGTTTTGTTTTGTTTTGTTTTGTTTTGTTTTGTTTTGTTTTG